CTGCCTCTGTCCTCAAGGTGTGTTTGGAGATATGTGTGAGATGAATCCATGCAGTACATTAGATTGTAACACTGGTACTTGCGTTGTTGATCCCGTTTCCTATACTGCCTCGTGTGCTTGTCCTCATGGAATAACAGGAGCCATGTGTGATATGGACCCATGTAGTACAATGGATTGCAACAACGGTACTTGTCTGGTCGATCCTGGTTCGTATGATCCATTCTGCCTCTGTCCTCAAGGTGTGTTTGGAGATATGTGTGAGATGAATCCATGCAGTACATTAGATTGTAACACTGGTACTTGCGTTGTTGATCCCCTTAGCTATACTGCCTCGTGTGCTTGCCCTCATGGAATAACAGGAGCAATGTGTGATATGGACTCATGTAGTGCAACGGAGTGTAACAATGGTTCTTGTCTGGTTGATCCTGGTTCGTTTGATCCATTCTGCCTCTGTCCTCAAGGTGTGTTTGGAGATATGTGTGAGATGAATCCATGCAGTACATTAGATTGTAACACTGGTACTTGCGTTGTTGATCCCCTTAGCAATACTGCCTCGTGTGTTTGTCCTCATGGAATAACAGGAGCAATGTGTGAAGTGGACCCATGCAGTACATTAAACTGCAACAGCGGTACTTGTCTTATTAACCCAGTTTCCTATGCCCCCGCTTGTCTGTGCCCCCATGGAATAACAGGAGCCATGTGTGATATGGACCCATGTAGTACAATGGATTGCAACAACGGTACTTGTCTGGTCGATCCTGGTTCGTATGATCCATTCTGCCTCTGTCCTCAAGGTGTGTTTGGAGATATGTGTCAGATGAATCCATGCAGTACATTAGATTGTAACACTGGTACTTGCGTTGTTGATCCCCTTAGCAATACTGCCTCGTGTGTTTGTCCTCATGGAATAACAGGAGCAATGTGTGAAGTGGACCCATGCAGTACATTAAACTGCAACAGCGGTACTTGTCTTATTAACCCAGTTTCCTATGCCCCCGCTTGTCTGTGCCCCCATGGAATAACAGGAGCCATGTGTGATATGGACCCATGTAGTACAACGGAGTGTAACAACGGTACTTGTCTGGTCGATCCTGGTTCGTATGATCCATTCTGCCTCTGTTCTCAAGGTGTGTTTGGAGATATGTGTGAGATGAATCCATGCAGTACATTAGATTGTAACACTGGTACTTGCGTTGTTGATCCCCTTAGCTATACTGCCTCGTGTGCTTGCCCTCATGGAATAACAGGAGCAATGTGTGATATGGACCCATGTAGTACAACGGAGTGTAACAACGGTACTTGTCTGGTCGATCCTGGTTCGTATGATCCATTCTGCCTCTGTCCTCAAGGTGTGTTTGGAGTTATGTGTGAGATGAATCCATGCAGTACATTAGATTGTAACACTGGTACTTGCGTTGTTAATCCCCTTGACTATACTGCCTCGTGTGCTTGTCCTCATGGAATAATAGGACCCATGTGTAATATGGACCCATGTAGTACTAGTGCACTGGATTGCAACAACGGTACTTGTCTGGTCGATCCTGGTTCGTATGATCCATTCTGCCTCTGTCCTCAAGGTGTGTTTGGAGTTATGTGTGAGATGAATCCATGCAGTACATTAGATTGTAACACTGGTACTTGCGTTGTTGACCCCATCTCCTTTAATGCCTCGTGTGTGTGCCCGACAGGAATAGCTGGTGACGCGTGCGAGATTGATCCCTGTGAGGGAGTTGACTGCACATTTGGCACGTGTGTTGTAGACCCTCTTTATTTCAATACATCTTGCGAATGTCCTACTGACTTTGGAGGTCTGGACTGCAGTGAGCCCTTGGAGAAATGTCCTTCTATACCTGGCTACCTCGTCGTGTTGAATATGTTCCTCTCGAGCCGTGAAAACGCCGTACGTAATCTCTTGTTTCATATATTAATTAGTAAATCTTCAAATATTTATTAGTATATATGCTATCCCTTGTTTTATACGTTAAGTTGTAATTTTTAAATAATAATTAGTATATTATTGAATTGAAACATCTCCGTCGGCTAAATTGTAAGCTTAATCAAAGGTGATTAATGATATAAATAGGCTTTCCCACTTAGCGAGTCTTCGCGTATCTAATATAGTGTTAACAGCATTCTGTACCAACAAAACATTTTGTACAGTTTGTTAATTTGCACAAGTATTTGCTAACATCTATTCTATATTTTTGTTTTGTTTTGCAGAAAATGTTATCAGTTGATATCGTAGCCTGCGCCGAGTATTGCAACTCGAAACTTATCTGCTCATCGTTTGACTACAACTTCCAGAGCGAAATGTGTGACCTTTCATCGGATGTACAAATTCCAATTCCACTTTCACCGAATATGAATATGTGCTATTATGAAAAATTATAATGAATCATTAATTTGTCTTTAATTACCGGCGTTTTAGAGATTGTTATATGTATTGCATGGGTGTATGCAGGGGGGGGGGGAGTCGTGAGGGTCTTACGACCCCCCAAAATTTCAAAAGGTCCACATTTTTTCCAAAGACATTTTTTTCGGCTTTTTCACACAATGACATAAATGAAAAAGCACAATTGATCAGGTACCAGCAATGAGTCCAAAGACCTTGCTAATTGCGTGACGTAAATCTATCCTAATTCCAGCAATTCTGAAACTGAGCCTTTTTTTAAACACAATTTTTTGTTTAAAAAAACTGAGTTCAAAAAAGAGAGACAAAGACTCTGACAAAGACAAAGACAAAGACAAGACAAGATCAAGACAAGACAAGATCAAGACAAGACAAGATCAGGACAAAGACAAGATAAACAGTTCAAAAGACTGTTTTCAACTGAGTCAGAAAACTTGTTTAAAAAAACTGATCAAAAAACTTCAAATTTTTGTTTTAAAAAACTGAAATGTTTTTTTGGAAACAAAATTTTTTGGTTTCAATTAAATTGTATTGACATTTGAATCACATCTTGCTGTTATTTCATTGTGAAAAGGTCCAAAAAATTATGATCACGACCCACCCAGAAAAAATCCTGGATACACCCCTGTATTGTTAAATATGTTAGTGATGGGCATATATTTGTACACACACACACACACACACACACACACACACACACACACACACACACACACACACACACACACACACACACACACACACACACACACGAGACGTAGTACGGTAGTAAGAGACGACCAGTACTACTATTAGAAGAGAGACGACGACGACCATAGTAGAAGTATATAGTATACGTACGGTA